GGCGGCGTTAGGGTGTCCGCTGTGAGGAGAGGGGAGAGAAAACACCCTCCCTCCCGCTTCTGTGTAGCCGTGCGCGGGCTGCGTTAGCTCGCTGCTCGCGTGTGCTCCGCCTAAAGCACAGCGGAGAGGAACGGTTCTGTTTGCTAAAGCATAAACGTGACTGTGAACCCGCTATTGAAACATCTCTTCAGGTTGCAGAGTAACCTTCGTTGGTGTAATCGGATTATTTTACAGTAAAGTGAGCATTTTCGTGTTTAGGCTAAGAGGAAGATGACAAAGGTACTGATAAGGAAATTTGCAAGGAAAAGTTAATGTTCAGTACCCGGTGGTGAGAGGAAGTTCAGATGCAGGGGTGGCTGCTGGACTAAACCTTCCTTCTATGTAGCTGCTTCTCCTTGCAGTGGTTCGTGTCACTGTGTTCCCTGTAGGGTACTGTGACCCTTCGCCGCAGTACCATTGTGACAAGACAGTCAAGTTGATTTTCAGCCTGGTTTTCTAAGAATTATTATGCTTTGGTGATGCATGTCCATTTATTCCCTTCCTTCTTCCACAGAAAACTTTTGAGCCGTTTGGATAATGCGGGTCATAAAGAAAGATAGAAAAGAGAGGAGGCAAGGAGAGTCTACTGTGTAGGAAACTGAGGCTTCATTAATACCATTGCTCATGAAGTGCGTGTCTCTCTGTTCCCTCTCCTTCAGACTGCCGATTCCCAAACTAGAAGATACAATTAGGAGATACCTAAATGCCCAGAAACCACTTTTAAATGATGACCAATTCAGGTATGGACAGACGAGATACACATACGAGATACACATACTGCCGTATCATGTGCTGCTTCAAAGCCAAGTCTTACATATAAAAATAGGACTTGTGACAGCATTTTGACTCTTCTCTTGATTGCTGTAGGAAAACTGAAGAACTTGCTCATCACTTTGAAAAGGGAATTGGAAGAGAGCTGCATGAGCAACTGGTTGCTCAAGACAATCAGAACAAGCATACTAGTTACATCACAGGTAGGTTGACCTGCTGGATATAGAAGGAGCTTGTAGATCATCATGCTTGATAACAGACAGCTTATAATGCTACAAATAAAATAGGCTGAAGCTCAAGCTCTCTACTCCACAAACTTGGAACAACATCCTGTGAGTGGTATTTGAGCAAATTCTGAGTCTCTAGTGGAAAGAAGAATGCCCATGATCTAACTTTTATATACCAGAAATTTGGGTGGATATTGAAGAAACAGTATTTTTTCATGAGTTACTGTATTTAAATTTGAGTTTACAGGGTTTGTCTTTTTTCTTTTTTTCATTGCTGTCTATTTATGTTTAGGTTAATCGAGGAGCTTAATTGGTGACTCCCTTAAGGGAACTAAAGCAATAATTTTAAAATACTTTCAAGTTATTTAGCAAGAAAACTGGACTCTGAAGGGGGGTGTCAGACAATATGACTAAGCTTTGGGAGGCAGAAGTGGTCAGTGCTCTGGACTTAAAACCCCCTAAAACTACAAAACCATATTCTTTTAAAGAGCAAAAGAAAAGGAGAGACAGAAGGAGGAAGATGGGAATAAAGAAAAATTAAGAGACTATGTATATAGGTTTTTTCTTATTCTTCCTTATTGCTTCCGCTTACTTCCAAATACAAGTGTCTGTTTGTAGAAGTATTGGATGGATAGCAACAGAGATGGAAATATTCAGTATTCTATGGAAACAGAAGTTCACATGTTTACCAGCAAATGCAATTCTGTCCTTGCTGTCTGATGAGACTACCTATAAGGGTGTTAACTACCACAAATTCTGTAGAGAATACCAGATTATTTCACAAAAGCTGCTCTTCAGTTTGTGATCTTTTCCTTTCCATTCACTTTGAACATCTGGGCTTTTAACTGGTGGCTTTATGGTGTCTGCCAGTGTTAGCCAGTAAGCTGCTTTTTGTCTGTGAACCGTGGGGTGTGTGTATTCCTTTTTGTTTAGCTACTATTCTTTTTTAGGCCTCATAAAAGACCTGTTCCACTTGAAATTGGTTTCTAAAAGTATATATAGTTGCCTCCACCCTGGACTTTTAAGTCCAAGGTTCAAAGGCTAGATGATGATGATGGATGTGATTTTAAAACTAGATGAATGCTAGTTACTCACCTGTGAGAACTTGGAATTAAAATTGTAACTTAAGTCCTTGAATCACCCATTGCACTTTTACAACCCAGCTAGAAGGTTTTACTTGGGACTGATCCAGGCTTGGAATAATAATTTTTAATACATCAGCCGCCTTGAGATGAAGTTGATGTGCACTTGCTTCCTTGGTGTGAATCCAATCAGTGTGCAATACCAGAGCTATGATGATGAAATAGAACCTACTTAATAAATCCCTTCTCTGCCTATGCCCGTGGATTTTCATGTACTAATAGACAGGTGTAAAGGTGTGACTACTTTTTAGAGCTATGATTAATTCCCTTGGTTTTGGCAAGCACAAAACCTTTGGGTCATATTCATGCTTCTCGATGTGCTGACAGACTGTCTAAAAGATCTGTGGGTGTCAAATGTAATTCGGCTTTCCGAAGTCTGTTCTGGGTCTGAAAGAATAACCATGAGGTTCCTTCTAACCTCATCTTTTTGCCAGCTTGAGAGACTGATGGTAGTGCATAATTGTCAAGAGTTTTGCCCTGTGCTGATCATTTTAGTGGACAGAAAGAGGAAGGAGCTGGAAATGCAAGACAGCAAATGTAGATGGAGGAATGCTGCCCTGAATGAGGGAAATACTGGATCAAAAATAAAGGTGGTACTAAAGAGATACAAGCCCTCAGTGACACAGTATTGCAGAAATTAATAGCTTAAGAGTAGGTAAAGGCGTGTTCCCTTCCAGATGTCAGGTGTGCACCAAAATATTGTGCTGGGGAGCTGCACTGGATGTCGAGGGAGTTGTGGTTTATCACTGAGCCATATAGAAAGCATGGAAGTTGGACTTTGTTGCTAATGACCTTGACACTCTTGATACAATTGCTCCGATGACAGTATTTTTACAATTACCCAACAATACCTTTCTTCATAATTGGACGTTGGGAGAATCCTTGGGGGGAATTATTACATATGTTTGTATGCACTTCAACAGATGTTTATTCATGATCACTGTTGGCGGCACGAACCTCTGGTCTGACTCAGTAAGCTGCTTTTATGTTCTGACCTATTTCTCAACTCTCCATTTTCAGGTCCCTGGTTTGACATGTACCTAAAAGCACGTGAACCTGTTGTTTTGAATTTTAATGCATTTATGTCTTTTAATCCTGATCCGAAATCTGAATATAATGATCAGCTCATACGAGCTACGAACATGACTGTTTCTGCCTTACGTTTTATGAAGACCTTCAGGGCTGGTTATCTTGAACCAGAGGTTTTTCACCTCAATCCGGAAAAAAGTGACACTCAGATCTTCAAAAAAATTATCCGGTTTGTGCCTTCTTCACTTTCTTGGTTTGGTGCCTACATGGTCAATGCATACCCCCTAGATATGTCTCAGTACTTCAGGCTTTTCAATTCTACACGGCTGCCCAGACTCAACAGAGATGAGCTTTATACAGATGAAAAAGCAAAACATTTACTGGTACTGAGAAATGGGAATTTTTATGTATTTGATGTTATTGATAGAGATGGAAATATGCTGAAACCTTCAGAAATACAAGCACACTTGAAATACATCCTTAGCAACAACAGTCCAGCCCCGGCCTTCCCTCTTGGCTACCTCTCCAGTGAAAACAGAGATACCTGGGCGTTGCTGAGAAAGAATCTACTGGATAATGGCAATGAGGAGGCTCTTCAAAAAGTAGACTCTGCAGTGTTTTGTTTGAGTTTAGATGATTTTCCCATTAAAGACTTTGTGCACTTGTCCCACACTATGTTGCATGGAGATGGTGCAAACCGCTGGTATGACAAATCCTTTAATCTTATCATAACTAAGGATGGCACTGCAGGAATTAATTTTGAACATTCCTGGGGAGATGGCGTGGCTGTGCTCAGGTTCCAGAATGAGGTTTTTAAAGATAGCACCACGGCGCGAGCCATCAGCCCCCAGTCCCAGCCTGCTTCCGTAGACTCTTCTAGAGCAGTGCAGAAACTTGACTTTAAGCTGAATGATGCCTTAAAAGCAGGAATTACCAAAGCCAAAGAGAGATTTGATGCTACTGTAGAAGCACTGTCTCTTAATATGATTCAGTTCCATGAAGGGGGTAAGGACCTTCTGAAGCAGAAGAAAGTAAGTCCAGATGCTGTGGCTCAGCTTGCATTCCAGATGGCTTTCCTTCGACAATACAATCAGACTGTTGCTACGTATGAGTCTTGTAGTACTGCAGCTTTCAAGCATGGTCGTACAGAAACTATACGTCCTGCCTCTATCCATACAAAGAAATGTTCGGAAGCTTTTGTCAGGGAACTGTCCAAACATAGCACAGAAGAGCTTCAGAAGTTGATAGTGGAGTGCTCAAAATACCATGGCCGTTTGACAAAAGAAGCTGCTATGGGTAAGTAGGAACAAATCAAACACTCTCGCTTTTGCACTAAAATGTCTGTCAAGGTTGCTGTAGACGTTTACTTCACAACTAAATAATTTAATTTTGATGGAGATCTAATGTTAGTGTAAACTTGACAAAAACAGTAGCAGAAGGCTGCAGTTTAAATTGCATTCCCTGAGACTTGTTTTGTGATGGAGGAGAATGCCTCTGTGCTTCCCACTTCACTGTTAACGTGTTGAGAATTTTTTATACTTTATTTTTTGTCCTTGCAGCAGCTGGGCTGTTTGAAAATTTGATAAATACTTAGTGCTTGTTGTACTCCCCAAGGCAACCAAGAATTTTGGCTTTATGTCTGAGGAGTTACTGTCTTATCCCTGCAGGTGACAGGGCTTTAACAGCTTCCAAATCAAACTGATTCTTTGGCTGTGCTACTCCTGGTATTTGTCTAAATGCTTACTTTTGAATTGTCCTTCCCAGAAGCATAACTTGTTGAACTGTTTCAGTAAAATTCATTGTTGCCCATTATCCCAGAGAGTCGTAAAATTTGCCTCCTTTTGTTGATGCAAGATCCTCTTCCTCTTTAGATTCATAAATTTTAGGAAAGCCTTTCTTTGTTTTAAAAAACCTGGTTATGTTCAGATAAATAGTCAATCAAAGAACACAATGAATTATTAAAATTGTCTGTTAACATTGCACTTTTGTTTACCACCGTGATTCCTGCTTGAGGCTAGCAGTAAAACAGCAAGCTCTCATTCCCTAGGATACGTGCATTAAAAGTGCAGAATGTCTGGGTTCTGAAAAATGGTTCCTGCTAATAGGAAAGTAAAACTGAGTTCTGTAGACCTCCTCTTTCGTGGCTGAAAAACAATGTGATGTCAAAATAACATAAGTGACTTTACTTCCCACAAAAAGTAGTCATCCCTCTAATACTTGTTATTTTATTTTAACAGGTCAGGGATTTGACCGACACCTCTTTGGCTTGCGCTGTTTAGCCTTATCCAAAGGTATTGCTCTGCCTGATTTCTACCAAGACCAAGCCTATGCTCGGCTTAATCACAACATCCTTTCTACAAGCACATTGGTTAGCCCAGCTGTGCAGTTAGGAGGGTTTGGCCCGGTGGTGTCTGATGGCTTTGGTGTAGGCTACCAGGTACAGGATGATTGGATAGGTTGTAATGTTTCCTCTTACCCAACTAGGAATGGTAAAGAATTCCTTCAGTGTACGTACAAGTCACTAGAAGATATCTTTAATGTTTTAAAGGGCAAGAAAATCAGTAGTTAGACATAAAAATGTTGGAATACATTACAGCTGCAGTACAAAATGCAGACTATGTCTAATTGACATACTAATCAGCGTTCAATGTGGCTGAGACTGCCCAGCTTAATTGGCTTCATTTATCTTCCTTGAATAGTTAGATTCACTATGAAATTTGTATCTATTTTAAAGAAATCAAGTAGAGACCTTGAATGCATGTTTCAGGAAACACATTCACAATGTCAAAATTAAGTAACAGATCCATCTGTTCCAACAGATCCACGTGTTCCTAAAACATGTTATTTAAAATAAAAAGCATTGTTACTGAGTTTATGAATTTGGACCATCTGTGTTCCATGACTGTTCAGACAGACAACAGCACTGTGATACCACTCTTAAACTGGTTTTGTTTTTAAAAAATATATGCAATACTTTTAAATATGAAAGAATGGTTACATTTGCACTCTTGCAGTAAGTTTGTTTACTAACTTGTCACACTTACTTTTCTCTTTAAACTTGAATCGATATCGGAACTGATTGTGCCTCAACTGCTTGAAGCCTTTCCACTGTAACAGCTTTTTGAGAAACAAAAAATAAAATGGGAGGCTTTAAGTAACCTGTGGTCACCAACTGTGTTCTTAAATTGACTGGGAAAGACTGTATTGTAATAAAGCTATCTGTTAGTAACCACAGAGTTCTTTTATTGCCACGTCAAAACTATAAACTATGGGTAGTCCCTTTATCAATAGCTCATGTTTCTTATAAAGGTTGAAAATGCTACTGAAAGCATGCTGCAGTTCCATCCATGAAGTCTGTCCAATAATCTGCTTTTGTTTTGCTATGTAAACCTGTGCTCTTGTGCCTTAAAAAAGAAAAATCACTGAACTTTTATCTTTTGGGGTTTTCTTTTTCCAAACGTCCTTACTGTGGAAAAGTAACTTCAGCAGAATGTTTTCGTGTTTCCTCCTTGTTCTATCAGCTAGAACTTTTGATGTCATTTATTGTAGCAAATGGCAGTCTTAGTGCCTAGAGCTGCGTCTTTAATGCGTTGGGGCTTGTTGCAGAAGTTCTAAAGACTGAGAGTTTGCAGAACTCTGAAGGGATTGCAGGACAGCTTGGGCATAGACTTCAGTAAAACTTAGCGATGCTGTGAACGCAAGATGAAACTGATGCAGACAGTTCCTTGTGTGCTGTTCACAACTGGGACTCTGAGGGCTACAAAATGAGGGATAGCAGAAGAGGAAAGGGCCTTCGTCAGTCAGGAAGCCAAAAGTGTTCAGAGTTGCTGGGATTACAAGACAGATGCCCTTTGCATGAGATACCCCTTTTTGCACAAAATTCGTTATGGTACATGTAACTTGAACTCCTCTGCCTTCTAAACCCCGACGTCTTCCACTCTGTTTTTCACGTGGGAAGATGAGTCTTTCTCTGGAGCTGAACAGCATAGTAGTGCTTGCTTCTGCAGCTCGTGTCTGTCAGCACAGCCCACCATGACCTGCCCAACCAAATATAGCAGCAGAACATAAAGTCTGAGCATGTTTGGATGTGACAGATGAGGTTCAGAGGCTCAGAAACCTACTTGCCTTTACTCTTCCTTTGGATATCTTAGCTTCCAGGTTCTCCCAGTGTCTTTTTTTTTGTAGTGCAGTAAATGTAAGCAATACCGTATCTTGAAGTTTGAACCGCAAGTGGCTAGGAAAGGGAGAGGCATGCTTTAAATATGTAAGCTCAATGGCTTATAAACTTTCCTAGGCAGCCTATAATATGCTATTCTATTTTTCAGTTGAAAAGGATTATTTTAAAACTTAGTTGAAAATGTACCATGATTGTTCTTGCGCATTTAAACAAAGGAAGGGAGGTGATAATTTTGGGGAACGAAGGAAATAATATCTCAGGAAACAATAATCAGACCAAAAGCCTTTGAATGTAATTCACTAAAGACGGTTTTGGGGTTTGTGTTTTTGGTTGGTTTTGTTGTGGATTTTTTTTAATAAACATGAGAACAGCTGGCAAGATTGTAAGCACACTTGCAAAGTAGAAGGTGGTCTGTCTTTAACTAGAAATGAGTGAGGTTTACTTAATGACGTACTCAGATTTCCAGCAGCTGTAACAGCTGTGTGTGTCAACAGCAGTCAAGCTTATTAAGGGTTCCCAGTAAACTCACCTCAGCGTCTTTACTTGAACTGGCAGAAAGCTGTCAAAGACGAACCTTTTCACTTGAACAGTTATCACAGTCCCTTTGCTAATATTCGTAGCCATTTCCTGATGATAGGAATGGTAAGTGAAAACACCTTACTTGCTATGTCAGAGAATCAAATGTGAGTGCTTCTTGGTGACAGGCTGTTACAAACTGTAAGGCAATAAGTTGTCTAAAGAGTTACTGTTGATACAGTAGTTAAGCTTCAGTCCATCACAACCATATATATTCCCCCAAAAGACAACATTAAGAAAATGGCACAGTTCAGCCAAGTGTATACACTATTTTCAGTTTGTACTGAGGCAATCTCAAAAGTGCTCTGTGGAAAATATTTTATTAGGACATCCTGGGAAGGGTAAGCACAACTTAAGTTTCCATTTCTGAAGTACAGCCATGTGAAAAGGAACTCTGAGGAATCTGCGTCTCTGATGGTTACAGCTCCTTCATCGATAAGCATGTGAAGATTTATTAGGGGTATGAACTTTAGCATTTTACAAATTTATGGGTAACTTCATAGATTCCAACAGATTCCTTTGTTTTTTCATCATAGTCATTCCAATCCTATAGGAAATAAGATTTCACAGTATTAGTCACAGGATAGGATGCAGTAGTGTGTAAAACACAGACTGGAATTCAAACTGAAACTAAGCCTTACTCCAAGTTTGGGTCTTAGATTTCTGAGGAAATGACTGTACAGTCACTAAGCTAAGTTCTGATACCTGAGAGAAGCAAGAGCACTGACCTGAAATTAAATGGGCTTCAGTCTCAAGTGTTTGAACAACCATTTTTTTTTTCTCGTATACAGTCCACAGCCTGTAGTGGACAAGACAGCAACCACGGCAGATGAAAGGATTATCTATCATTTACAATACCCTAGTCAGGTGGGTAAGCAGACAAGCAGATCCCTGTCAAGTAGGATACCAGGGAACAAATTTGACCTTGAGATTCTTGCTCACAGCCAAGGGAGATTTGCAATGCTGGAGTCATTATCCTGAGCTTTGAAGGACAGGGTCTTTACATTACTTTTTAGTATCTCTGTGCACAGAAAAAGTACAGGCATTTTCCTAGAAAAATCAGTTCACCACTCTGAATAACCCCAGCCATTTAGTACTCCAAGTGTTTGCTCTCTGGAATTCCTCAGTGACTTAAGAGTTGCATTTCTGCCTTTTTCAGCTGCTAAGCTATCAAATGTGTACTTCTAAAATGACACTATTAGTAATGCTGGTTGTTCATAGTTGGTTTAGTTTCTTTCTCCAGCTATGACCTTCCTGTGCCTACATGAAAGAGCAAAACTAGTCTCTTGCATGTGCAGGGCGTGTATTTTGGACTAGTGACTTCGGGAAAGAAAGCCAGATAATTAGATTTACTAAGGAAACTAAGACAACATACCTTTTCTAACAAGTTTATGTCATTGAAAGGTGTGCCAGATTCTGCACCTTCAGCAGCAAACCCTGCCTGCAAACACAGTTGCAATAAAGTTTTTAAGAATAAGTTGTACCAAGAAAATAATAAATATGATCATTGAAACATGTTTAAAGAAAGTAACTCAGCACAAACTTTTTTTCTGTATTTCTTTTAAATTAGGTAGAAAGAATGATCAAGCTCTATCGTGGTGAAGGGCGAGTATAAGGTTGTGACCCTATTTGTGAATTTGGAAAATTCAGTCTAAGCAACCACGGAGTAAAATGAGGGAACACTGCTCCTCTATTTTTCCTGCCAAAAAGGTATTTCCAAGTATTGTAGATAATGTTAAACTTGAGTTTCTAAGTTTATGTAGCAGCATCCAACTACTAATAGCTTTGTGTTCAGAATCCATACAGGCATTATGTATGAAATAGATTCATAATAGACTGTTAGAAAACAATAGAGAGAAAGTGTGGAAGAGAGTTAACAGTTTTGGCTTAAATGCTGTCAGAATCCAAGATACTCTAGAGAAGGAGCAGGCTGTACTGGATTTAGGTACAGAAGTGACTAGCAAGCTTTAGGTGAAAGGAGGATCAGCTGGCTAACTGAACAGATTAGTATACCCAAACAATCATTTCAAAGAGGAGAGTTCTTCACTGTTGTTACTGTTGCTGTTTAAAGAGTTGACGAAAAGGATAGCACTAGGAAATGGCGTTACCAGTGGCGTATAGCACAAGAACAAGGTGTTCTGTTTTATCTTCTATAGGGACAGCTCTCTCATTTTAGGGTGCACAGTTACCAAGCTGTAAATTAAGTTTTATTAGTTTAAAAAGTAAATTTCAAAATCTCAGCGACCTCTGTACCATACAGGAAAGTTTCTTACATTCCCACTTCTAACTACAGAATTTTATTAACAAGTGGCTAATAAGCAAAGGTAGCTTCTTCCTGGTTTTCTGCAAGGGATCTACGCTTGCATATTTTCTAAAGGAATCCCCACTAGCACCAGTCAGACGTTTAACTCTGTAAGAATGTGTGAAGTAAGCCACATAATTTTAAAATATTTTGGGATTTGAATGGAAGGTTAGGCACTTGGGAGTTAAAAAACCCACGGAGCGTGGCAGCCGTAACAAGAGGAGAGCTATCTGCAAGGCCCGGTGTGAATATGGCCTTCATATAATTGTCAGAAGCCCACCCCAGGGAACTGCTAGGGGTGGAGAGAAAGATCAGCATCATGGGACAAAAATACAGAGCTGCAGTATAGAACAAACACTAGGAAAATAAAAGAAGCCCTGCTTTTGCCACCTGGAGATGTTAACCAGCCCTCCAAGGAAAAAGAAGCCATGTGATTGGAATTACAAGCTTTTGTACCAGACACTCAGCGAGACTTGCATTCCTACAGCTTTGGCGTCAGAGCCGAGACTCGTTTAATCTCTGCAGGAGGGAGCTGGGACACGCAGGGACCTGCCTGCCCTCTGGTGCCTGGCCAAGGACCGACAGCTAAAGCATAAACACCAAAGAAGCAAAAAAACGCCCATCGACTTGACACGGTGAATTGTCACGCTTTTGTTACCAGTGAAACTACTGGTTGTGCCACAAAGCAAAGAAGCCTAAGAAGGTTTAAGAGAAGTTTTACAAAGAAACCTCCATTTTTTAGTTGCAGCATTCACTTCAGGGTCAAGGACAGGAAAGGAGCTGAACCAGCCTCAAGTAAAACCAAAAATTATATATCAGATTTGCAGCAGATGTATTTATTTAAGCACATTAAACAAGAAAGATAAGTAATTAGAGGGGCGGGGGGGGGAATGGTCCTTGCCCATTATTAGAACACAGAAGTACCTAGTTTGAATTTGTTGCTGCTACTAGGTAGGAAAAGAGGGTTTATATCAGAGAATCAAAAGGTATGTTCTCCTCTTTCAGACTCAAATGATACTTTTAAGAAAACTACTGTAATTTAAATAAGACATGCAAGCATTTAGCCACTCTAAATTGCCTTCAGGTATGGTTGTATTATGTCTATCAAAAAATACGAAGAAAATACAGTAATGCTATGGCCATATGCTATGTTTGGGGGTAATCAAAAGCCAGATCTAAGGAGAAGCCAGGCTGGCTTGGATCATGTCAAATACAAAACAGTTTATAGAACTGTTTAGAACTCCGGGAGTCTATATATCTGCTCATTTGACATCAGAAAAATTCACTGAAATATCTGCTCAAGGATTCAAGTGTACTCTCCAATAGAAAGCACAGACCAAACTTTGAGAATATTAAATTAAAAGCTTTATTACAGCTGTGAAGTCTTTGTTCTGCAGATGAAAGTAAAATTGACAGCTAGGATGCAGAGCTATAAACATCTCCTACATTTTGTAGTCACAGAGTTTTCGTGAAGTGCAAGTTCCTAGGTCTGGCTGCAAAGCCTTCAAACAGGGATAAACTAATAACCATTCTGTTCCTCAAAAAGATGGGCTTCATTTAAATAAATAAAAAAAAAGAAATTAAAGAAGACCTGCAGCACACTGCAGTAGTGATTTTATTTAGACCAAATTCACTGTAAGATCAGCTTTTTTGGTCTGTTCCTTAGCACAGTGTCACAGTCTGAGGGAAGGATAAGACAGGTTTATGTTTGTCGGTCCATTTACACCTAATCCGACTGGAGTAATAGGTTAAATATAGCCGGGAGTTAACTTGCATACAGCATGACCGTGCACAAGCAAACGAATCACTAAAGAATTGTTTGGCCCTGAAGAAATCCTTCAGCTCTGAACCCTGAGGTGTGCTTTGCAACAGTCTTTAACTGCCATTGATCACCAGTCTTTGTCTGATGACATTTCAGATGGAAAAATGCCAATATTCATTTCCTGTGGCTTTGATGATGTCAAATCTCAAAGAAAATTTGATTTTTTTTTTTTTAGAGGCCATATACTGAAGACTGGTCATAAACTGAACTTCATCTACTCTCTGTATCGTACCAAGAAGCAAAGCGGCACTCTCCTGAATGTGGCTATCTAATTGTGCACTCTCGCAACTGCCCTGTAGGAAAGACTCTCTTTTGCAATAACCTGAGCAAAGACAACGTTTCAAATGAATTCAGATGAGCAGTGCTGAATACAACTCTGTGGTGTATTCAATTTTAGATTTTACTGGAACAAAGAATACCAGAGTTGTTAGTTAGCTGCTTGTGAGTTGGTTTTCTTTTTGAGTCAAATGAAGTAGAAGAACTGTGGAGAGGATGGAAAACTGGGGAGGTCTAGGATGTTCCAGGAAGAGCAGTACCATTTCAAATAGTCTGTATTTTATCACTCTAGAGTCTGTAAGAAGTGCTCTTAAAAACTGAGAAACAAATCACAAATAAGAACTCACCTGTGGTTGAAAGTCAACTGGTTCCAGACCTCGGCA